AGAGAGAAAAAATAAAAACGCCACTTTAAATAAAAAAGTAGGTTTTAAATCCATTTATTTATTATCTGTTTTATGGTAGGAGAGATAGCAATTTTTTTTCGATTTAAGTTGTTTTAAAGTAATGAATATCTAAATCCCGGGACCAATTCCGGGATCACGGGATTGTGATAACGACATCCCGAAATTCGCGGCATCGTAAAAAGAGAAAAAATTAACATCTCTAGTGACCACCTACGCCAGGTCGATCCAGGGGATCCTCGCTTGAAGGACCTTAATTTGGAGATTCGGCAACTGGTAAAACAGCAAAAGAGGAAAAAGTGGGAAGAGCACTTCAAGTCCCGTAATTTCTCCTCTGGTGTGAGTAAGCTCTGGTCAACCGTGAGGACCTTGTCCAAACCGACGAAGCGCGACGACAGAGTGGTCATTTCATTGACAAGGTCAAACTTCGAGTGACGAGGAGACTGCACAAACTGTCCAAAAATAGTGCACCACTTGTTTTCACCAGCGGCGAAGTGAAGGGGGCCATCAGGAAGGCGAAAGCCTCCCAAGCCATTGCACCCGACGGAATCTGTGTGCTGATGCTAAAGTATTTGGTGCCCGCGGGAGGAGCATACCTAACGGAGGCCCGCAACCTGTCAATGGCCACTCCCATCATTCCTGATGTGCGGAAATCAGGGAGAGTGGTAAAACTGCTAAATTCCGGGAAACCCACCAACAAAGGAGACACTTATCACCCGATAACGCTCCGGTCGGGAAGACAATAGAGGTCATTCTACTTCCGTACTTCACCTACCACCTGACCCCAGCGAAGCATCAGCATGGCTTCCGTAAAGTGCACAGCACCACAGTAGCACTTAACGCCAAAATACCCAAAAAACTCGTGGCCTAAACCGCAACCGACCCTGTTAGAGAATAGTCCTAGTAGCGTTGGATTTGTCAAAGGCGTTTACCGTCTGCCATTCCACGCTGCTAGAAGACAAGGAGGCATTCTGTCTTCCACAGGGACTCAAACGGTGCACAGTGTTTCGACTATATTGAGGCAGGTGGAAATAATAGTAAACCTGCACCAATTTCACTGAAACTTTACATGTGCTCTAGTTTTAGGGAATTATTCAATTTGGTAAAGATGGATTAATTGCCACGCCTTCTACTCTTGTGGGCGGAAACATTAAATTTCATCCGATTTCGATGAAACATAGTTTGTGCTCTCTCTTTTATTAGAAAACCCTAAATATAAAATATGTGGAAGATTGGATCACTATAACGTCCAAGACTCGCAAAAAATGTGGGCCCAGTTGTTAAATGTGATGGACTTTTAGTTAATTTTTTTTCCTGCTTTTCACTCTAAACAAAGGTTATACTATAAAATGACTTACGTGTAAATACTCGCTTTTTTCCCAATGTTTGGTGAGATTGCGTCATTGTTCGAAAAATTATTTTCGCGAAATTATGCAAAAAGATGCTGAAAATCAAAAATTAATAAAATCAGAGATTACATATATTTGCAAGGTCGCGCGCAAAGATCAAATTATATATTCTAAAGCTACATAAAATTCTCTAAAACACTTGTCTATTTTCAAGACCTGACGGACCGGTACTCACACTTTCTTTTACTAATAACCTTTAGCATCTACATTTCAAAGTAAATTTTTTGGTAAGAAAATAGGAAAGCACCAAATAAATGATAAATACCTTCACCTGAATGTCCCACGATATTTAAATAATTGATTACAGTTGAAAAATAAACATTTTCTTTAATGGGTTAATCGCCAAAGGCAACCTAACTGATTACTCGGTATCGCGCCGATTCCCGTATTTCTTTGGAAATGTATCATTCGTGAAGAAAAGGGGTGAGTAAATAATGTGAAATGTGGTATTTGCGACTTTTACTTTTCCCTCTCTAAGTCCAACCGGTTTTTTGTATCAGCTGGCACCATGACTTTGTTCTATCTGCCTCCATATAGTCGAAACACTGTGGGGTGGTCGGCGAGTTATATGAGCGGCCGACAGTCGTCAGTAACTTCCAGAAATCAAACCTCGAAACCTATAAGAATAAAAGAAGGGATTTGTTATGTCAGGAAGTCAGTTCAGTCAGACGGAGTCCACCCACCCTCTTCAACGTACGCGGTAAGCGAAGCCATGGACGCTGTGTTGTGCTCATTCTTAAGCGTCCCTTATACCTGACACGCGTATGTTTGTCTGTCTAACGTCTGTTCAGTTCCATTTAAGTCATTTGGTCACTAAACCCATGTCCCCTCAGTTGCACCAGTGCAACACCTCACACCAACAAATTGAACTTAGCTACTTATTTCAATTTCTTTCAACTTGATTGGACATCATTTCAACTTCATGCAAAAAATACATACTTTTATTTTTACGATATATTTATGTACACTTATTAATAAATTTTACATCTAATAAGGAAAAAACTTCATATAATAAAGACTATTCAGCTATAGTGTAAGTCCTAACATTCGAACATTCGGTAAGCTACTATCTAATGGATGCTATATAACACATGTACATATGTTTATAAGTATCTTAACTTCAAAGCAGTTGTATGTACTTGTTTCACCTTTTTTTAAAGCTTAAACTATATCCTCCTACTTCATTTTCACTCATTCCTATATTAATCCATGCAGTCGTGAGTAATGTATTGGAATTGTGGAAGTCTATCATCCAATTTTTATCAAAATAATTTACGGGGTACATATATGTGAGTACTCTTATACTAAGTTCCCACGGCACATAATTCGCTCATTCGTAATTGGCTCTGTCATTCGTAATTGGCGCCCCAACTACCCTTAGAATTACGTAATTCGCCATGAAAATTTTGAGAGCGAATTACCTCATTTGTAGGTAGCTCAGATCCAATTACCATACGAATTCCGAACAAATTGCTGCGGTCTCTAATTTCAATCGGAAATTTATCGAACTCAGCTGTCAGCAAGAGAGAATAGAAAAAATCTAAACAAAGAAAGGGAGGAAATTAAGGAAAAACACAATGAATTGTCAATTCGAATTGGGAATGAGTTGTAGTGGCATATCCAACATTACGGCAGCACTATTCAGCGCCGTTGTAATGTTGGTAGCCCTGATAAAAATACGTTCCACAGGTACATACAAGTTATACTTTTCGGGTTCCGAATAAATAATCACACTACCTACTATGTAGGTTTGATATCTATTTTGATCGTAACTTTATTTGCTCCGCATATGCGGTAGTAACGAGCTAAGAGCCTGGCAAAAGATTGAATATTAGAATTAAGACAAAGCTTACTCTACCCTACTTAATCCCAACTGTAGCAGAGACTGTAGTAGTTGCTATCTTTGGTGTTGTTGTTGTTCCAGCGACTGTAGTTTTAGATGGATCGCCAATTCGCTATTGCTAGTGCTTTCGTTGTTGTTGTGGTTGCAGCGACTGCAGTTGCAGGTGGATCGCTACTCCGTTACTGCCGTTGGTTTCATTTTTGTCACGCGCATATTTGCAGACATAGCGTCAGCATTTTACATGAGAACGGAATGTTTTCCATGAGCGCGTTAGCAGGTGTTCAACTACTCCCCCTGTAATATTGAGCTGCCCCCAGCTCCCCTTATAACTCTTTCTACTACAGCAGCGTTTTTGCGTCTCTGTTGCCATTTGTAAATGATGATTATTACAGCGGAGCCGACGGCGATGATTATAAGAAGGGAAAATGAAATCGACCATTGTGTCGACTGTGCCCGAGTTATTTCTCGCAAGGCTGCGATGTGCTCCAGATTCTTTAAGTTTCCATGATGAAGATAGGGAAGGGATAATAGGGGAACGAGCTCCGTTATGTTCAGTATTTGGGCTGGTGCGGCTCTCGGGTAGGAGCGAACAGTTCTCTTCCAGTTCGTGTAGCTAATATTATTAATGTTGGCGTTTTCTTTGAATGATATAAGGAAGGTACCTTTAATTTTTATTTGTGGAAAACTGTCTTCGCGCACTTCAACTGCTTCATCGTTGACGATCACCAATCCATCGTCAATTTCCTCCAGAGGGGCAATGTGGTCAGCTGGTATGGACTTGCATGCAGCGGGTTGACGATTCAATAGGTTCAGTAGGCATGAGCTGGTTGTGTTTGCAACTCGACAAATTGCTTTCGATGCTGTTTCTTTACAGTTATTTAGTTGGTGATGTTGGTTACTACATTCTGCTACCATAGTGGCTTCTAACATTAGCGTCTTCTTACTGTGAATAACTGGCCTGACTATAAGTTTGTTGCATATTTGGCTTATGATAGGGTATTTGATTATAAAATAAATATTCTCGTTATTTTGCAAGATTTTCAGCTCTGAAGCCGTTAACAGATCACTAATAGAAATATTGGTAGAGTGCCCTTTGGTAATGAGTTTATCAGATTCCTTATTATTTAACAAAATCGGATTTATTATTTGTAGTTTACCTAAAGTAACTGAATA